GGGCGAGGGAACGGCGCCCTTGGGCAGTCTACAGCCGAACCTACTGGGCCCGAGCGTCTCGCTGCCAGACCATCTGTCGGCCCTGTGGACTCTCGCCCTGGGCCGTCGGCTGTCTGGCGCGCTGCTCCTTCGGTCGACGTCGCGCAGGCGTGGTCCTGGATTGCGGCCGCCGCGAGGTCGGGAACGGCAAGGAAGAGGGCGACGACTGGTGGCTGGAGCTTTACGCGCTGCTCTCGCGCGCCACCCGCCACGAGGGCCTCCTGCTCATGCGGGCGCCGCGCGTCGAATCCTTCCCGGCAGGGCCGCCGGGGGACTTGCGGAAGCAGCTGGGGCAGTTTGCGGCGCGCGCGAAGTGGTGCAGGAGGGAGGCGACGGCCCTCGCAAGGGAGCTCGGCTTCGCCGAGTTCATCCGCGAGGGCTGCATTGAGGGGCGCCCCGCCCGAGCCGCGCCTTCTTTCGATTTCGCGACAAATTGTTTGGCCTCGCGCCGCGGGCGACCCGCGCGCGTCGCCGGGGCCATCTCGGGGCGCCCGGCGCGCGTCGCGGGAACTCCGTGCTTCGCTCTGCCCAGCGCTTCGCTTCGCGTGCGGCCAGGGCCTTGCCCGTCGTCGGCCTGCCAGCCAGCTAGCTCTCTTTGCTCCGCGCAGCGGGCGACCGACGCGCGTCGCTGGGGCCCCTCTGGGGCGACCGGCGCGCGTCGCGGGGGCTCCGCGCTGCGCTGCGCCAGCGGCCTCGGACGTTGGAGTGCGCGGGCAAAGAGCGGGGAAAGGAGGGGCAGGAAGCGGGCGCGATCCTCATGAGGGGCGTGCCGACACGGGCTTCGCGGCGTGCGGGCGCTGCCATCGGGGCCCCCGGGGAAGCTCCCTGCGGCGGCCTCGCTCAGTGTCGCGAGTGTTCAGAGCCGGGCGTGCACGGCCATTCGCATTCATATACATGTGCTTTCGGCGTAGCCATGATCGCATTCACGCAAATATACTCACTCGTACGCAGACTCATTCACACTCATACTCACTCGCGCTCAGACTCGCCCGCGCTCAGTCTCTCGTAAGTCGACCTATCGTCTTCCTTCGCGTTGTGTACCCCGCCACGCAATTCGGCGCGCCTCGCGCGCGGTTCGCGAGTTCGCGGCCCCATGGGGGGCGCCGCCGAAGAAGACATTCACAACAGCGGTATTCACAAGTGCATAGTGTTGGGTCCTTCGCCAGGATAATGTTCTGAACGTGCCTTGTTTGCGCGGGCCAGGCTCGCTGTCCTTCCGCTGGACGACCCGGCGCCCCGCGCCTGGCAGGCATTCCAGCGACCGCGCGCCCCTTGCCGAGCAGCTGGCGTTCAGGAAAGCAGCGTCGGATGTTTTTTTTTCCCCGTGCTGCGCCGTTCTTTCGCTGAGCTCTGTCCGGGCCCGTCTTTCCCTGATTAGGTTTCTTTTCCTACTTTGGGGAAGCGCTACTGGGCGTGGGCTGCCATGCGCATGATGTGTTGCTCGCCCCTTCTAGTGCTTGGCCAGGGTGTTCTGCTGGGCGCGCTCTAGAGGCGCGGTGCACGCAGAGCGCCGAATTGAGGCGTCGACCGTTCACTGCTGGCGGCGTGCGATGCCGCGGCTGCGCGCCAGGCCCTCCCAGCACGGGGCTGCCTTTCCATGCCAGGCGCCGCCCTGGAGTTAGCCTTGCAAGTCTTCTTTTCCGAGGGCTTCCCGTCGCGCGCGCGTGCTGCGCATGTGTGCCACGCGAGCGCGACGGCGTTGCAGGCTGCTTGGCCAGCCCTGCCCCCCCTCCTTCGCCCCCCCTTCCGCCCGCCCCCCTCCGCGCGCCGCCGCGTGCTAGCGTGGCGGTTGGCGCCGCGCAATCCAGCTGGCGACTTGTTGGGCCTGGCTCGCTGCGCAATGTCCCTTGACGAGCGCTTGGTGGACGCGCCCAGTTGCGCGTCCGCTGCGTGGGCAGCGAGTGGGCGGCGCGCGCAGGAGGTCCGCGGCCCTGCTGCCAAGGCCTCGGGCTTTGCCCGGCCTCAGCGACGCTGTCGGCGGAGCGGTGGGAAGGGCGGCCGCGCCCCCCGCCCCGGCCTCCCAATGAGGCCCCGCGCTTCCGCCTGGCGCGGGCGGGGAGGGCGGCAGGCATAGGGGCCGTGCATGTGTGGGCGCGATGGGGTGTGAGATTCTATTTCCTGACGGCGCGCGTGTCCGCCCTCGGAGCGGCGGGCGCAGAACGCTGTGAGAGACGGCGGGCGGGCGCCTGGCGTGGGGCCTTGAGTGCGCTGCGCGAAATGAAAGAAAAAGTGTTGTTTTTGTTGGTTGGTTGGTTGGTTGGTTGGTTGGTTGTTTGTTTGTTGGCTTGTTGCTTGTTCAGTGTTGCTGTGCCCGCCGTGCCTCTCTCTCTCTCTCTCTCTCTCTCTCTCTCTCTCTCTCTCTCTCTCTCTCTCTCTCTCTCTCTCTCTCTCTCTCTCTCTCTCTCTCTCCCCCCTCCCGCCCAGTCTGTGCTTGCTCTCCTCCGGGTTGTTGTGCCGCCCCCAGACTTCTCCGAGAGGAACATCTGGCGAGGCTCGGGAAGGCAAGGGTCGCGAGGGGAAACCGATGTCGGGAGGGGCCAGGCGGGGTCACCGTGAGCCATTGGGGTCGTTGGGGGCCGCAAAGGGGTCACCAGGGCCACGCGTGGTCGCAGGGCTCGCAGGAGGTGGCAGGGGCCGGGCCACGGGGGCCGCAGACAGTCACGAGTGGCCACGTGGGGCCACGCGGAGCCGCGTGGGCCACGCGTGCGATCCAGCGCGCGAGCCGTGCGCCGCGCCCGCGCGGGAACGCCGCGCCCGAAAGGAACGTGCGCGGAGCTTCTGGCGAGGGCGACGCGTCGCCCGCTCGCGCGGGCCTCTCGACGTCGACGAATAAAATGCATGCGCTGCGTCGACGCGGGAACGCCGCCTTCGGGCGACGTCGGCGCGGAGCCAGCGCGAAAGCGATATTTTCGTCCGCGCTCGCGCGTCGACGAAGGGGCGCGCGAAAGCTGTGCGCCGCTCCCAGGCGGTAGTACAACTCCTTAGAGTTAATGCGGGCCTGTTCCTCTACGGGGGGAAAATTCAAAAATAGTAAAAGAGTGGACTGGAGACGATTTTTTGATTACTTCATCCCATCTGGGGGCATTTTTTGATTTTTTTTTCATTTTTCGTCCAGGATCCCCCTGTTGGAGGACGGGGCAGGATCCCCCTGTAGGAGAACAATGAGCATGACGCCTCGGCGAGAGAGATATTTCGGCTTTCCACGCGGGCTGTGCGCCGCGCCCCAGTCGTGCCGAGCATTTTGCAGCGTCGACGGCAGAACGCCAGTGTGGAGACGAAAAAGATGTTTTTCTGATCGGCAGGATGGGAGCCCCGGATGTGGCCCTTGTCGGCCGGCTAGGTGGCAGATCGGGAGTCTGTACCAGTAGTGTAGAGTAGAATCGGTCAGGTTAGGGTAGGGTCGGGCGAGGTAGGGTCGGGTAGGGTAGGATAGGGTAGGGTGGGATAGAGCAGAAGAGAGCAGAGTAGAGTAGATTAGAGGATAGTACAGGAGAGTTGAGGAGAGTAGAGTAACGAAGAGAAATGAGTAGAATGCAGTAGGGCGGAATATAGTAGGAACAGGGTAAAGTTGAGTAGAGTAGACTCGAATCGTGTAGGAATAGAGTACGAGTAGAGTACGAGTAGACTAGGCTGGAGTACAGTGCGCGCCAGTCCAGTCCAGCGTGCTTCAGTCCAGTCCACTTCAGGCCACTCCTAGTCCATTTCGTTCCCTTCTCTTGATTCACCTGGGTGGACATATTCTATGAATGTTTGTGGTTTGGTTTGTTACTTTTTGTTGCCTGCTTGCTTTTTTATTTGTTTGTTTGTTTGTGCTTTCCTCGGGCCTCGCTGGAGGCGCCCTTGGTCTCTCCTGGTGACTTTGGGGGGACGTTTCGGGGCACTGGAGCCTCTGGAGGATCGCTGGGCCGTCCTGGGCTGGTCTTCGGAGACCTTCCAGAAGGTTTAGAGCGATTTGTTAGACCGTCTTGGGGCCGTCTAGAAGCCGAAACTGGTGCCTGATATCAAAACCAGGAGGGCGATTTGTATGGCTCAGTCCGCGACGTGTGAGAAGTCGGCTCTGCAAAATCTTTGAAGCACCAGCATATAACTAACAAGCGTCAGACCTTCGGTGAACTAACCACGCAAGCGCTGTGTCTCGATGAATGATCGGCGGGCGCGAATGACCAGAAGCGGAAGGGTGCCATCCGTGGCGCGTTCGCGGAGCGTGGAGCGCAGTTCGGGCGGCCCGATTAGCACAGGAAGGGGAAGTTACGACGGCCTCTGTGGAGGTCAGCGCGGTAATCCCAGACATGCTCGCGTCGTCAACAAACATCGCAACGGGACATCCTCGGCAAGCGTTTCGCGACATCCTGTATCGATCGGATAGGCCCCCTTCCCTCCGAGGGTCGCGCTCAAAGGCGGGCGCGAGGACGCCCGACGATGGCGCCAGGCACTTGCGAGGGGAGAGCCCTGCTGGAATAAGGGCCGCTGAGGCAGGGGGACCGTTCAACACCCCTTTCTCGGCAGCCTCGCAGGAGAAGGAGGGCGGACCCCAGCTCCTCCTCCTCCTCCTCCTCCTCCTCCTCCTCCTCCTCCTCCTCCTCCTCCTCCTCCCCCTCCTCCTCCTCCTCCTCCTCCTCCTCCTCCTCCTCCTCCTCCTCCTCCTCCTCCTCCTCCTCCTCCTCCTCCTCCTCCTCCTCCTCCTCTCCTCCTCCTCCTCCTCCTCCTCCTCCTCCTCCTCCTCCTCCTCCTCCTCCTCCTCCTCCTCCTCCTCCTCCTCCTCCTCCTCCTCCTCCTCCTCCTCCTCCTCCTCCTCCCCCCTCTTCCTGCTCCTCCTCCTCACCCCCGCCACCTCCCAGCACATCACAGAAATCTGCGCGGGGCTCCGCCACCTCCGCCGTCGCCGTCATGGCCCTCGCCGTCGCGTGCTCCGCGCGCGGACACGGCATCGGCCTCCGTCCGTCCCTGCTTCTGCAGCTTCGCAGGAATTGGCTGCCCGGGCCGCCGCATGGCGCGCCCCGCCCTCCTTGGCAGCGCCCGCGCCATTCGCAGGCGGCGGTCGCAGCCTCCGCGCTGCTCTGCGGGCGCTCCGCGCAGGCCGTGGCGGCAGGGGCCACGCCTGGCGCGCTCGTGGCATGTGCGGCAGGTATCCCTTTCCTCCTCCTTCTCCTCCTTCTCCTTCTCCTCCTTCTCCTCCTCCTCCTTCTCTTCCTCCTCCTCCTCCTCCTCCTTCTCCTCCTCCTCCTCCTCCTCCTCCTCCTCCTCCTCCCCCTTATTTCCCCTCCTCTCCTCCTCCCCCCTCCCCTCCTCCTCCTCCTCCACCTCCTCCTCCTCCTCTTCCTGCTTCTCCTCCCCTCTTCCTTCTCTCCTCCTCCTCCTCCTCCTCCTCCTCCTCCTCCTCCTCCTCCTCCTCCTCCCCCTCCTCGGTCTCCTCATCCTGCTCCTGTTTCTGTTCTTGTCCTCCTCCTTCTCCTCCTCCTCCTCATCCTCATCCTCCCCCTCCTTCTCCTCCTCCTCTTCCTCCTCCTCCTCCTCCTTCTCGCTCCCCTCCTCATCCTGCTCCTGTTCCTGCTCCTCCTTCCCTCCTCCTCCTCCTCCTCCTCCTCCTCCTCCACCTGCTTCTGCTGTTCCTCCTCCCCCTCCTCATCATCATTATCATCATCATTATCATCATCATTATCATCATCATCATCATTATCATCATCAGTATTATCACCATCATCATTCTCACCATCACCAACTCCATCACCATCATCATCGCCTTCGTCATCGTCATCATCATCACCATCATCATCAGCATCATCATCATTACCATGTTCATCTTCATCTCCATCATCATCATCATCATCATCATCATCATCATCATCATCATCATTAATACCATCGTCATCATCACCATCAGCATCATCATTATAACCACATTCATCATCACTGACGCATCACCACCACCATCATCACCATCAACACCATCATCATTATAACCACCATCATCACCATCACCACCACTATCATCATCAGCTCCTGAAGTACGCATTGTCCTGAGTAGATCCCCGAGGCGCGCAGCTTCTCATGCGAGGCCATGGCCTCACCCGCCTCGTCCTTAAAGGGCCCGGGCGCATGCCCGCACAGGCGTTCCGTTTCCGTTTCCGTTATCATCATCACCACCATCATCATCCGCTTGATATTTATCTTCATCTTCATAGTTATCTTCATAATCATCTTCATCATCGGAATAAACATAAACATCACCATCACCATCATCCTCACCATGACCATCATCATCATCATCATCATCATCATCATCATCATCATCATCATCATCATCATCATTGTCACCACATGCATCATCATAATCATCAGCAGCATCATCAGCATGAGCATCAGCATCAGCATCAGCATCAGCATCAGCATCAGCATCAGCATCAGCATCAGCATCAGCATCAGCATCAGCATCAGCATCAGCATCAGCATCAGCATCAGCATCATCATCATCATCATCATCATCATCATCATCATCGTCGTCGCCGTCGTTGTCGTCGTCGTCGTTGTCATCGTCATCATCATCATCATCATCATCATCATCATCATCATCATCATCATCATCATCATCATTCCCCTCCCCCTCCTCCCCCTCCTCCTCCTCCTCCGCCTCGTCCTCGTCCTTCTCCTCCTCCTCCTCCTCCTTCTCCTCCTCCTCCCCCCCTCTCCTTCTCCTCCTTCTTGCCTCTCAGATGGGGTTGGAGGAGCTGGGTTCGGAGGATCGCGCCGCATCGCCAGTGCATCGGCGATGCGGCTCGATGTGTAGCTTGTGTTTCTCCATGCCGATGTCGGCAGTGTATTGCTGGTGTTGCCGGTGCATCGCCGACTCATCGGTGATTCCGTGGCGATGCGGCGGGGGCCTTCGACCCCACTTGCTCGGACCCCATCCGGGAGGCCTCGGAGGTACCGGCGCTTCCACGTCGTGGGCCAGGGCAGCTTCGGCTGCTGCTGGCTCGCCGAGGGGCCAAAGCAAGTGGCGCGCGCGCAAACTCTCGGAGCTCCGCGCCGACACGCTACGGGTTGCGTGTGGGGTGCTGGGGCAGGTTGAGGCCAGAAGCAGATCTCTGGTCTGTGCCGAGGTTGCCTACGAGGCGCAAAGTCTGGTGACCCAGTCCATTTTTGTGGGGCGCTCCAGAGATGCGAGAACGAACAATGACACAAACATAATGACTCGGAGCTCCGCGCGGATTTCTCGGATCGGCGTTGGGGCCCCCTGGCGGCGTCTTTGGCGCCGCCCCTGGCGCGCTCCGCGCGCCAGGGAGGGCGGGGTCTCAGCGGCGGTCCACAAGAGTTCCGCGCGGACCACCGACAGTTTTTTTTATGGTTACCGCCAAGACGCTGAAGCAAGAGTCCCTTTCGGCTCGGGAAGGGCTCTGGTTGTGACAATATGGGAAACACCTCGGATTTGTATATACTTGTTTGTGTGCTCCTGGGCCCCTTTGCTCAGATCCAGGTCGGGGAAAGCTCGTGCGGTGCCGGGAGGCTCGCCGTGGACAGAGAAAGGCCCCGTCGTTCCTCGTGTGCAGTGCTCTCCCTGCGGCAGCACGATCGCCGTGGGCCGTTTTGTTGCTCCTCCAGGCTTGCCGACAGCGAGAGGCGGGTCCCAGTGGCGCAGGTCGCATGCGTCTTTCTCACCCAGTGCAGCGTTTCGTGGCCCCATGGGGAGCTCCACCGAAGGCGATACCCACAACTGCGGTACTCACAACTGCATATGGTTGGGTCCTTCGCCAGTCTACTTTTTGTTGCTCCTCCAGGCTTGTCGAGAGCGAGAGGCGGGAGAAATGCATCCTGAAGCAGATTGACGTCTCCAGGATGTCCCACCCGCAGCGGGAGGAGGCCGCGAACGAGGTGAGGGTCCTGTCGAGGCTCCGCCACCCGTTCATCATCGGCTACAAGGAGTTGGAGTCGGCTGGGGGGCTGAGGTGGCCCAGCATTGGTTACCAGCCAGAAGACAGGGGGGAGAAAGGGGCCCCCTCGTCGCCATGGCTGGACGCGGCTCGAAACACTTGTTCAATTCCGAAGTAGGGAGGGGTCTGGAAGCATATTGGAGAGGTATTACGGCTGGTGCCGCCGACCCTCAACGACGACGACGACGACGACGGCGGCGACGACGACGACGACGACGACGACGACGACGACGACGACGACGACGACGACGACGACGACGACGAGCGCCCTCGGGGGCCTCTTGGAGGTAGTTTTGGGGCCTCTTGGAGGGGTCTTGGGGGCCTCTTTGGAGCCTCGTGGGCACCTCTTAGGGCTTGCTGGGGGTCCCTTGGGGGCTTCTTGGGGCCTCTTTTGGGGCTTTTTGGGGGCCTCTGGGCTCGAAATGTCCGTTCGGGTCCCCCGTTTGGGCTCCCTCTTGGAGCCATCTTGGGGTCCTCTTGGGTCGTTTTGGAGGCCTCTTGGAGGCCTCTTGGGCGATCTTGGGGGCCTCTTGGGCTGTCTTGGAGCGTCGGGAAGCCGACAATGCGAGAACGCCAACATCTTTCAACAACTTAAGGAACATCGAGGCTCTCGGAGGCCTCTTGGGAGTGCTCTTGGAGGCCTCCTGGGACGTTTTTGAGGACCTCTTGAGCCGTCTGGAAGCTACTGTGGCGTCTTGAACCGATCGTTCGGCGATTCGGGGCCCGGGACCGTTTTGAGGTTCTCTTGGGGCACTCTTGCCGCGTCTTGGGGCCACTCTGGGCCCCGGAACCGCCCGGGAGGAGTGCGTTTCTGGGTCGGGACCCCCCCCTCTGGGCAGGGAAGGGATCAAAGGGAAGGGGCATCCCCTCGGCACAGCTACGACGTGGTTGCTCAATGTCGCTTGGGGGCGGCGCGCTCGAAGAGGAGGGCCCAGGGCAAGGCGACGGGGGACGACGGAGACGACGAGTGACGGAGACGACGAGGAGCCGACGGAGACGGAGGCGACGACGGAGACGACGAGGAGACGACGGAGACGACGGAGACGACGGAGACGACACGACGACGACGATGACCAACGGAAGAGCGTCTTCCACATGCCGACAGTCGGCGGGGGGGCTGAGGTGGCCCAGCACTGGTTACGGGCCAGCAGACAGGGGGGGGAAAGGGGCCCCCTCGCCGCCATGGCTGGACGCGGCTCGAAACACTTGTTCAATTTCGAGCTGGGGAGGGGTTTGGGGACAGATTTTGAAGAGATCTGGCCTCGCCCCCCGCGGCCGCCTCCGAAGAAGGAGTCTTTCGTGGAGGAGGGGATGCTCTGCATTGTCACCGAGTACGCTGAGCATGGCGACCTCTATCGGTTCATCCACGATCGGAAGATCCAGGGGCAGCTTCTTGAGGAGTCCCTCGTGATGCGGTGGTTCACGCAGATAGCGCTTGCTCTCAAGCACATGCACGACCGCCGCATACTCCATCGCGATCTCAAGACGCAGAACATCTTCCTGGTCGGGCTCAGGGAGGGAATTGCCAAAATCGGAGACTTCGGCATCGCACGGGTGCTTCAGCACACAATGGATTGTGCCTTGACTGCGATCGGCACTCCCTACTACTTGTCCCCTGAGGTCTGCCAGGAGAAGCCATACAACCAGAAGTCGGATGTTTGGTCGTTGGGGTGTGTTCTGTACGAGCTCGCCACCCTGCAGCATGCCTTCGACGCTGACTCGATGCGCGGTCTCGTGATGAAGATACTGCGAGGCGTCCCCCCGCAGGTGCCGCTCAGCTTCAGCGCCGAGGTACGGGAACTGGTTCCAGATATGCTAGTCAAAGACCCTGGCGCGCGTCCGTCGATCAATCAGGTGCTGCAGCGCCCACTGGTCCGGCAAGTGATTCGCCAGCTGCTCGAGGAGATCGAGCATAGGCCTGCTGCTTCAGCCATGGGCCAGTCCGAGACTCTGGCGTCTGCAGCGGTGACGAGACTGCCGCAGGAGGCCACGCAGGCGGAGGGTGAAAGCGTGGCTGCCCGCGACGAGGGTCGATTTGGGGCTGTCGGCGGGGGTGACGCCCCCCCGACGCTTGTTATAGGAACCTCGGAGTATGTAGGTAGCATCCCGCAGTTGCGGAGAAGAGCGGGGGGGCGGGCGCGGGGTGGGTCGCGGGAGGGTCGCGGGCGGGTCGCGGGGTGGGTCGGGGGGCGGGTCGCGGGTGGGTCGCGGGTGGGTCGCGGGTGGGTCGCGGGTCAGGTCGCGGGTGGGTCGCGGGCCGGGTCTCGGGCGGGACGACGGCAACAAACAAACAACAAACAACAGTCAACGACACACAACAAACATCAACAACAACGACCACAAGCAACACGCAACACACAACAACAAGAGCAACAACAACACCACCACCACCAACAACAACAAGACCAACACCAAGAGCAATTACACCACCAACACCAACAACAACAACTACAACAACACCACCACCTCTAACAACAACAACACATCTTTTAAGACTGTTCGCTCCTATCTGCTCACGTGCCAATCAAAACGTATACCCCAAACCCTCTGTACCCGCCCTCGTCGTCTTCGCTCGTGCCCCCTTGGGGGTATATCTTACCTGTCACGTACATTTAGTGCAGATCCAAAAACAGCGGAAGAGAGGACGGGTTGAAGGGGGAGGGAGAAGAATGGAACACGAGAGAAATTAGCAGGAGGGGGTGCAAGGATCAGAAAACAAGTGGTAGAACCAGACGGGCAGATCGGGTGGGCAGACCCATAGCGGGCAGGTCGGGAAGGCGGGCCCAGGCGACCAGGTCGAGCAGGCGGGTTGCTGAAGCGTGGGTCCTGCATGAATCGCGAGGAAGTCTCGAGCGATAGCGCGATTCCCAAGTAAACGTTAGAAGAACCAGAGCGAGAGCGTGATTCCTGAGCGCCGAGGGCGCATCGTCAGAATAAGTTGCGAGGAAGTCCCACGCGAGAGCGCGATGCGTACATGAATTTTGAGGAAGTCCCGCGCGAGAGCGCGATTTGATAATAACTCATGAGGAAGTATCCGGCGGGAGCCGCCGCTGTTGTAAACCGGGGGCCAGGGGCCCAGTTTGAGCCCCGTGAATTTCCCTAATATAAGACAGGGTGCGAGCCCTAGGGGAAGCACTTCAGTTGAAACATCTAATGGTCACCGGTGGGGGGACCAACAATAATCATTCTTCTGTAGTGAAAGTTCAACAACAGCAGCAACACATACCAAGCTTCATCAACAACAACAATAATTTTAAGACTGTTCGCTCTTATCTACTTGAGTGTCATTCAGCGCGTATTTCCCGAACCCTCGATACCCGCCCTTTTCGTTTTCGATCAGACCAGTTTGAATGGGTATAGATTTCTTCGTGTGTTCTGCGTGATTAGCCAGGAAGTTTCCAGCGAGAGAGCGATTCCTAAGTAAATTTGAGGAAATCCACAGCGAACGCGCGATTCCTGAATGGCATGAGCGCGGCGCTTGAGTAAATTGCCAGGAAGTCTAAGGCGGGAGCGCGATTCTAGAGTAAATTGCGGGAAGTCTCAAGCGGGAGCGGGGGACTGGAGTAAATTTCGGGGAAGTACCAAGCGGGAGCCGTTGTTGTTGAAAACCGGGGGCCAGGGGCACAGTTTGAGGAGGAAGACTTTCCCTGATACAAAACAGGGTGCGAGCGTCAGGAGGGGCACTTCAATTGGAAAAATATAATGTACACCGGAGGGGGGGATCAACAACAATTGTTTTCAAGTAGCGAGAGTTCAACAGCAACAGCACAAGCAAAAGCAGCAGCAACAGTAACAGCAACAGCAACCGCAACAGCAACAGCAACAGCAACAGCAACAGCAACAGCAACAGCAACATCAATAAGTACAACACCACCACCAACAACAGCACCTACAACCACTACCACAACCAACAACAACAACAGCAACAACAACCACAACAACAACAACAACAACAACAACTCGCACCGCGGAAGCTCACTTCAGCCACGCACCCAGGGACAGTGAATGACCGTTCGAGCCACTCATTTTGACGAAGACTGACAGAATTTCTTGCTCATCATGAACAGTGGTCGCTGTCGGTGTCGACGCGGACGTTGTCCATTTGAGACTCATGGCCGCCTGCCCATCAGGGTTTTGGGCAGCATCTGTTGTTGGGCATCGTACACATTTCTGCCGTACCCGCTGCGGGTGTTCAAATCCAGCTTCTCGGCAGCAGGCGCCCGTCGCGTATTTTCAGATAGCTATCTGACCTCGCAAGAGCGCTGTTTTGATTGAGCTCGATCAAGTTCGCTTGCACGGTATTTTCCGCCCCCGTTCGCCGCCTGTGAGACAATGTAGGGCCAAACAACGGCGTGCAAGTGAGCGTCGGCTGGTATGAAGTCCAGAGTTCCTCAGGGCCTCGGCAGCCCTCCCTCCCCCTCCACGCAAGCGTATCCGCCAGGGCCTAAAGAAAACGGCCTCCAAACAAATTGCAACATCGCAAAAATCACCACCCGAGTCCCGGACCCCACCCTCCTGCGCCATTCTTCGAGCGGGATCGTCCTGTGAGGGCCCTGGGGCCCGAAACCCGGCGAAAACGCCCGTTGCGACAAAAAATCGCCCCGCCCGGATTTGAGGGCACGGCCCCTCTCCCCCGAATTCAAAGCTGGCACGCGCGGGGGAGACTTGTCGTCGAAGTTCAACTCATTCAGCCCACCGCCAACATCGATCATTGGGGGCGAGCGTTGACAGATGAATGTGGCATGAGTGCTCGCTAACCCAGGCATCCTGCTTCTTCAATTTTTTTGGAGCGTGGACCCCAGAGGTCCGGACCACTTCTCCAGGGCCTGTTTTTCGACCCGAGTCGTTTTTTGACGCTCCCGAGGCCCGGCGAGGGCCCCCAGAGGCCGAAAACGGCCAAAAACCGCTTGCTCTAATTGTTTTGGAGCGTCGGATCTTAGGGACTTAATTCCCGAGGACTGTACGTTTGTTTTTGGTCCCCGCCCGAGGCGCCGCCGCCCGCGGTGGCGACGGGGCCTGCGCAGGGCGCCCAGCAGGCAGGCTGCGACTCCGCCGTGCCGCTGGGGCGGCCTGCCGGGGATCCGGCCCACGCGCTGGCCGCCTGGGGGCCCAGCGAGGCACTGGCCCCTCTCCTCCTCCCTCCTCCTCCCTCCTCCTCCTCCTCCTCCTCCTCCTCCTCCTCCTCCTCCTCCTCCTCCTCCTCCGCTGGGTACGCTGGTCTCCTCCTCCTCCTCCTCCTCCTCCTCCTCCTCCTCCCTCCTCCCTCCTCTCGCCTCTCGCCTCACTCCTCCCTCCTCCTCCTTCTCCTCCTCCTCCTCCTCCTCCTCCTCCTCTCCTCCTCCTCCTCCTCCTCCTCCTCCAGCTCCCCCCCCCCCGCGTGTCGTTTGCTCCTCCTCCCTCCTCCTCCTCCTCCTCCTCCTCCTCGCTCCCCTCCTCCTCTTCCTCCTCCCTCCTCCTCCTTCCTCCTCCTCCTCCTGCTCCTCCTCCCCCTCTTCCTCCTCCTCCTCCTTCTCCTCCTCCTCCTCCTCCTCCCTCCTCGTCCCTCCTCCTCCTCCTCCTCCCCTCCTCCTTCCCCCTCCTCCTTCCTCCTCCTCCTCCTCCTCCTCCTCCTACTCCTGCTCCTCCTCCCTCCTTCTGCTCCTTCTCTTCCTGCTCCTCCTCCTCCTCCTGCTCCTCCTCCTGCCTTCATGCTCGCGCCGTACAAAGATCGACTACACGTAAGAGTGATCTTTCGCCAGAGTGACCTTCGGTGCGGGCCCAAAGGGGTTCCCCGATCGCGATGCGGCATCGGCGTCCTGCGCACTTGTGTTTGTCATCCCCGCGGCCCTCCAAAAGCCGTGCACCAAAGGTCACTCTTGCCCATGGTCACTCTTGCGTGTAGCCGAAAGAGAAGAACCCAGACCAGAAAATCAAATCAGGAGTAAATGAATTCTGTAGTCGATCCCCTACTCGAAGGGCGTATGCATAGATCCCGAGCTCAGAGGGAGCGCGTTTCTTGCTGGTGGTCTCGGCGGTCATCTTGAGGCGGGGGGCTCGGAATGTCAGTCGGTGTTACCCCTCTTGGGTCGCCTTCCGTGCCTCTTGGGCCGTCTTAGGGCTCTCTTGGGCCGTCTTGGGACCGTCTTGTCTTGGGGCTCTCTCGGGGGACTCTTGGAGAGCTCTTGGGCCGGTTTTGGTGCGGTCCTGGGGTCCTCTTGGGCCGTCTTGGAGCGTCGGAAGCCTGGGAAGGCGAGAACGCTAAACTCCATCAAGCACCTCATGCATACCAATGGCTTTTGCCTCTCGGGGCCCTCCTGGGGGGTCTCGGAGTCCTCTTGGTGCGTCTTGGGGGCCTCGTGTGCCATCTTGAGGCTATCTTGGTCGTCTCGGGCGCGCTGGGGCCGTCCGGGGGCGCTCATGTACCATCCAGGAGACCTCCTGGGGCCCCCTTGGGAGTTCAGGGGGTAGTCTTGCGCCGGCTCAGCTTCCAGAGAGCTCACACGACACACCCCAGGAATGCTTGGGGGTTCCCAATGAGGCCCGGGGAAGCGGGGGTCGGGGCCCTTAGACCTCGAAGTACTTCCTCTGAGCAGTGACAGCTGGTTGATGCGCCTTGGGGCACTCCACTTCGTGCTGAAAGCACGGTGGCCTCGTGGGCGGCCATGCTCCCCCTGTTGAGGCCATGTAGGGACTCCTTGGGGCCTTCCTGGGGCACTCCTTGGTTGCCTTGTGATGTGTTAGGCCGCTCTTGCACTGTCTTGGGGCCGTGTCGCTCGGAAGTCCACAGGCCATCTTGGTCCGAAATGCCAGCGAAGCAGCATCCACACAAACGGCGTCAGTATTCCACAACTGTTTGTTGCCTGGGCCCTCTCTCAGCATGGGGCCGAATCGGGCCGGTTCGGGTCGGTTCGGCAGCGTGCCGGTTCGGTTGTAGCGGTTCGGGGTTCGGCGCCAATTCGGTTTGAGCCGGTTCAGTTTTGCCTTGGGACGGTTCGGTTTCGGGCGGTCCGGTTCGGGTGATCGAAAGGTTGGCGCGCAGAGGGTCAGAAGTCCAGGTCCAGACCTCAAGTCCAGACCTCAGGTCCGGGCCTCAGGTCCGGACCTGAGCCTCAGGTCCGGACCTTAGGTCCAGAGCTCAGGTCCAGGCCCCAGGTCCGGAGTCTGAGGTCCGGACGTCTGGACCTCAGGTCTGGACTTCAGGTCCGGGCCCCAGGTTCGGACCTCAGGTCCGGACCTTAGGTCCGGGCCCCAGGTCGGGACCTCAGGTCTGGACCTCAGGTCTGGGCCCCAGGTCTGGACCTCAGGTCGGGACCTCATGGTCCGGGCCCCAGGTCCGAACCTTAGGCCCGGACCCCAGGTCCAGGCCCCAGGTCCGGAGCCCCAGGTCCAGAGGCCAGAAAACGGCTCGCCGAGGCTTTCCGTCGGGGGGGGCCGCCTCAGAGTTTTTTTTTTCTGTGTGTGTGTGTGTGTGTGTGTGTGGCCTCTTGGGGCCCTCTAGGAGCGCCCTGGCGGAGCTCTGTTGGGCCGTTTCGTTGGGGTCCTAACAGGGCCCCAACGGATGCTACAACGCACCCCTCTGTTGTAGCATCCGTCCGTGGGCGTCTCGGAGCTCTCTGGGGAGCCTCTGCTGGGGGCCCTCTTGGGCCGTCCTGGAGCCCTCTTGGTCCGTCCTGGAGCCCTCCTGGAGCCGTCGGCCGCTGGAACTTTACGGAGCCCGTCGTGGGGCCCTCTTGGGCCGTCCTGGAGGGCCTCCAGGACGGCCCAAGAGGGCCCCAAGAGGTCCTGGAGGCCTCTTAGGCAGGCCGGTTCGGTTCCACCGGTTCGGGTTGACCGTTCGGGCCGGTTCGGTTCAAACCCTTCCTGCTCTCTTTTGGTTTCTTGGAAGCTGCAGAGGCGGGCAGGAGAGGCCGCCCTGGGGCCCTGGGAGGGCATTGTTGTGTATGCAGGTGGGTGTGACGACGGGGGGGGGCGCAACATCCCCAGAAGACGCATGGCATTCTGCCACGACCCAGGGTGCCCGAGGGCACGATGTCGGAACACGTGCTCAACGCACCGAGGAGCCACACCAGGGCAGCCTGCAGGCGCAGAGGCTGCCCTCCTCCTTCTCTTCCCCGCCCTCCTGCTCCAGGCAGGGCCCCTTCCAGTGCTGGACCACACGATGGATGGCCGCCACCTCAAAGAGGAGCGCACTCTGGAGCCCAGCGGCTGGGCGCAGCCGGGTCCTCTGCATCAGCTCGGGCAGAGCCAGCGGCAGCTTCGTGCCAGCGGCACGCCAGCCGCCGACCGCACGCAGCTGCCGGCGCCTCCGCCGCAGGGCGAGGGTGGACCGCGGTGGTCCCCACAGCTGGGCGCTTCGGCCGAGCGAGCCGAGGGCGTTGGGACCAGCAGGTGCGGCGCGGGCAACCCGCGGCGGACCCTGGGGGCCGCGGAGCTGCAGGGCGAGCATGCTGCCACCGGCGCTCTCGAGGGCGCTCCTCAGGAGCGGTCGCCGCACGGGGGCGTCGCCGGGCCCGCCGCGATCTGGAACGGACGGGGTCGAGGAGACGGCGGTGGCATGGGACCGTGGGGCGCGGCCGTCGCGCCCGGAGGGGACCATGCGGCACCCGGGCGAGCAGCCAGCGCTCCTGACGCGCCCCTGCAGCCACAGGACCACTGGGCGCTGCTGTCCACGACGCTCAGCGAGTTGGGCGGCTCTGGGCTTCTGCCGCCGCCGGGGGGGCCCGCGCGGGCCGTGCCCTGCGCCATGGGCGAGGCCGGCCGAGCCGCGGCACTCCCCGGCAGCGCTGAGAACGCGGCCAGCAGCGGCAGCAGCGCGGGCACGAAGGCAACGAAGCTTGAGACCGAGCCCGAGCTAGCTGGAGCAGGAGGCCCTCCCTACGACTTCCGCGGGCCGGACGGCGCGCAGGTGGAGTTGCCTGTCGGGGAGAGGGACTCGCTCTGCTACCGCGTCGAGGCCCTCCGAGTCTACATTGAGCGCGAGCTTGGCATCGACGATTTTCTCTACGCGTACCAGTACTTGAATGAGAGCGTCCTCTCGGAGGGCGTGGTGGACAGGGGCACGCCTTTAGAGGAGGTGATCTCCTCGAAAGCGATCGGTTTCATGCCGCTCATCCACCAGCTCATCGTGTGCGAGGACCAATGCTTCGGACAGTGAGGGCTTCCGATCTCGTGCGCGAGACTTGAACAGACGTCCAGATTTGGGAGAGACGAGCCGGCTCCACCGCCCGGTCCGGGGGATCGGGGCTTGGGCTCTCTTCTGCCTGTTAGGTCTCGTCCCCTCCTTGTCGACGGGCCCCTGAGTGGCCTACCCTTTCCCCCTTCCCCCTGCCTCCCCCCGCCGCCTCGTCTGCCTCCCTCCTCCTCTTCCTCCGCCTCCTCCTCCTCCTCCCGGCGAGGCGCAGCTGCTGGAGAGAACCCTGAGCCTGGGAAACCGCCGAAGGAGCTGGCAGAACCGCCCGAAGACCGCGACACACCCCCGCACCCCCGGGTCGTTCACGTCTGGGCCACCTCCTCCTACCAGTCCCGCCCTCGCTCTGCGCGCGCGGGGCCGCGCGCGCGGGCCGAGTAGGCGCGGCAGCTGCGGGGGGCGCCCCTCGTCCACCCTGCTGCGCCCGTGTCGTCAGAAGCATCAGCATTAGATGGTTTTTGGACTCCATGGCGCAGAGACGATGGGCCGAGGCAAGAAAACACGCTGACCATGACCAAGATGCCGCTGGACGTTGTCGACGCCAACCTTGCTCATGGTCAATGCAGGCCGTCACGAATTCGCCAGGATGATCCACGGATCGACGGTGACCAAGGTCGACACCGACGCTTCTGTGCTTAGTCGTGGTCACGGTCACCGTGTTCTTTCGCTTCCACTGAGAATGAGGGAGGACGGGGAGGAGGACGAGGAGGAGGAGGAGGAGGAGGAGGAGGAGACGGCAGCCAGTGAAAACGGCGCCGGACGCACGCAGGCAGTTGGAAAGGCAGGCGGGCAGACAGGCAGGCGGCCAGAAAGATAGACGGCCAGAAGTGCAGCGACGCTGGCGGGAAGGCAGGCAGGCGGGCGTGTGGGGCTGGGAGGTAAGCAGGAGGCCAGTGGGCTGGCGGACAGCTAGGCAACCGGCAAGCTTCAGCCCGCCAGACAGGCAAGAAGGCGCACGGGCCGACGAAGCGCACATGGTGGGGTAGCATTCGGTAGTGGACAACAGTTCCGGTAGTTGGGGACATGCACTTCGGTATGAATGAAACTTGTTGACATCCGTTTCTGTATTTTTGGAATCACTCTCGGTATTGTCGTTGATCATTATGAATACTCCACGTGTTTCTGGGGCTTTCGCTTCGATATTCCGCATGTATGTGTAACGCGAAGAAGGTTGGTAGTAGTTTACCCGTTTCGGGCTCCATGGATTAGTTGATCTGTTTTTCCCAGGACTGCATGTTCGTGCGTATTTGTTTTGCCAGTTGTTTGTTGGGACAATTCAAATGCTTTATATTGGCTCTTCTTTGTGGACGGCTCAACGCCACCTTCGAATGAGAGTTTCCCAATGGCTCAGGCAAGCATCAGGAACAATTTCGGTGCACCACCCGGGCACCCAGACGCGGTTCGCCGCAATCCATTTGATATGGAGCGCTCTGGATATTTTGAATCAAACAGTTATCTTTCAATAAATCAAGCACACAAGTCTGCCGATCTTCGGCTGGCAGAGCCGCCCTGGGCTTGCTTCAGCGCAGCGGCCTTCCGCCGTTACCAGTGAGGCTGATCTGTCTCGTTTCTGCAGCGCCCCAACCAATATTTCCCCATGTGCGTTATTATCCAAATATTGCGTCTGTCGGGCGGCTCCGTGCTTGCCGTCGCCGCCGCGTCGTCGCCTCGTCGCTGCCCGTCGTCTGGGCCTGGGTGTCGGCCTGGCGGCTTCGTGCTTGCCGTCGCCGCCTCGTCGCGGCCCGTTGCAGCAGTAGTGCAAGCGACACATGCGACATCAACAATACCTTTTTGACAAGAACGACAGCAAACAACACCACCACGCGCACCAGCACCAGCGACGCTAGCAGCACAGTAATGACAATCACGACGGGAAGCATCAGCACCACGCGACACAACAGAAACGCTACTGACAACACCGCTTTGACCATAAAGACACCGAGCAGCAATATAGAACGCAATAACCCCAGCACCACTGGCAGCACCACTGTGACGAGTACGGTGGGGAGCAATAGTGCCACGCGAATCACCACCAGCAACATTATTCGACGGGAAGCAGCTCGCCACGTGCAGCAGCACAAACACAAGCAGCAGTTCCACTAGAACCTGCACGACGGGAACGAGCAGCGATAGGCGATTCGCGCTGGACTGCCCGAGGGCTCCCAGCCTCCCACCCACCCCGCCGGTCAGAGACGCAGAAGTTCTGAAGCGTCGAATTGCTAGCCCACCAATGGGGACCTTGAGCTGGTTTTCGACCGTAGTGAGACAGGTTCAGGTTATCTTTTCCTTGCTGGTGAACTTGATAGTGTGGCAGTAACCGAAGTCTGTAAGAGATGAAACACTTCGTTCAGATACTTGGTGCATGCGGCTACGTAGCTTAACAACTAATACCGCGAAGCTAGCATTTATTGGATTACGATTGAACGCGTCTCATTCGGAATACATGTTGGCTAACCAGTGTTGTTCTCCATGTCCATTGTTACATGGCAAGCATTCGGTCTCGGCCCCGTTGCATACAAATGATATTGTCTTGAACGCTCGTGTGTTTAATCAGCATTTCCAGCCTTAGAGGTGATATATATATATATATATATATATATATATATATATATATATATACATACACATATCTACATATTGCAGACGGCTTATCCGAATCTAGGTTTTGTGCGCTGAAAGTAGCCTTTGTTCCACGACCCACTGGGGTTCACCATGTGTTTGTCTGACTTGGTCCATTCCGCACTTCACTTCTCAACCAATCCTTGGCGAACAGGCGCCACCAGGTGATGCACTTGGACTGGGAGGGGGCGGGGTGGTGGCCAGCGGGGGAGCCCGCACTCCAACGCAAAACGTCATGGCTCAGACCGTTCGATTTTGCGTCGGACGCCAGGGACGTCCCAGGGCAGAGCCCACAGCCTGTCCCACATGTGCTGGGTGCTCACCCCTCGTGCCGCAACGCTCCCGCGTCCTGGCGTAGGTGCGCCAGAGCACCCGCAACGCGTCGGTCTTGCAGCAGCAGTACGATCGAACCGAGCAGTTCCGCTGTGACCAGCCCGACAGGAAGCAGCATCACCAGCAGCAGCACCCACGCCACCAGCAGCACAAGTGTGAGTAGCAAGACAAATACTAGCACCACCAGGCGCAGCACCAATGCCACCAGCAGTGCCATTGCGCTGAGGACTGTCGGCAATAGAAGCACCACGCGCAGTAGCATCAACGCCGCCAATAACAGTAGTGCGAGCAGCAGAAGCTCCACCAGCAGTACCTCTATGACCATTCTTACAGTAAACAGCAGCGCCACGCGCAATAGCACCAGCGCCACCAGCACTACAACGGTGGCGAGCACCACGGGAAACAGCAGCACGACACGCAGAAGCAGTGGCACAACCAATTCCATTTTGACCTGAGCAGCGGGAACCAGCAGTACTACGCACACCAGCTCTAGCGCAACCAGCAGAACCATCGTGACGAACACGACAATAGCATCGACTCCGCTACTACCAGTATTTCGAACGGCGAGCGCGACACCTGTAGCAGCCCTGCGGCCAGCACGGCTGCCAACACCACAACCACGCACACCAATACTAGCAGCACTAGCAACACCAATATGACGAGTGCGATGGGGATCAGCAACACGATCACGGCAAAAAGCAGCGGCACCAAGCGTAGCAGCACCAACGCCACCAGCAGCACCTCTGCGAAGAGCACGACGAACCACAGCAGCAGTGTGACTGGCATGACAGCGCGCCACCAGAAACATCCTTGTGACGGAGAGCAGCAACACCGCGCGAAACGGTACAAACATCGCCAGCAGTGCCAGTAGAACGAGGATGACAGGACCCAGCAATGCCAAACGATTCGCGCTGCACTGTTCGAGCGACCCTGTCCCCTGTTGACCAGACCAGCGGTCACGTCCAAGATCATCCGATTTTGCGCTGGAAATTGGCGACGCCCCAGCGCAGATATGCACAATCCGTCCGCACGAAGCTTAAGTGGGAACCGTGGGTTCTGTGCACGTGATTAGAACAACCTTTCCTCCGGGAACTTCATACAGACGACTTCGGGCCCAACAATTTTACGCGAACGCAATTCCGGACAAGTATACACCGTATTCCGGATCACTATGTACGTATTCGACACAATTCCGTTCAATTCTCCTGGGGCGCCAGTGATCAATATTCATTACAGACTGCGACGACGGGCCCTGACGGGGAGGGAGCCGACGGCGCTGGCATGCATTTCAATTTTGGACCTCGCAGTGCACTGCGGCGAATGGTGCTGTTACCCGCAGCGTGCTGCAGCACCTTCAATTGAGACGCCAGCGAGTTGTCCGATGCTGTGCAGGCTCGATGAAAAAGGAACACACATTCCGACCGATCTCGACTGGGACGCCCGCAGGTTCGCTCAGACCACCCCTCTTTTTCGAACTCTGTGTGTGTGTGTGTGTGTGTGAGCGTGTGTGTGTGTGTGTGCGCGTGTGTGTGTGTGTGTGTGTGTGTGTGTTGGAACGCCATAGGAGGACGGCAGGGGACCCCGTGGAGCCTACCCGCCGACTCGGCCAGATGGCAACGTGTCCCCGCGTCACCGTGCGGCACCGCTTGGGCGCCAGGGCCTCTCAGCACTTGGGCCGAGTGGCAGACCACGAGGGCCTCCCGAAAAGCCAAGGATGGATAACTCCCAGGCGCGTTGGCCGGGGGGCCAGCGCGGGCAGCTTAGGCCCTAAGCCCTACGCAAGCACAGGTGCCAGCCACACGGGCCGCCCAGACCGACCGCCGACCGAGCAGGACCGAGAGAGACCCCGCCCCAGGGCCTCTAGAGGCCGCGAGGGGCGCCGCTCACGCTGGCACCCGTGCGGGGGTGCAGCCCTGCCAGGAGGCGCTCGCGACGTCGCCGCCGCTCTCTCTCGGCAGGGTCGCACTCCCAGAGGGGGGGAGAGCGCCAGTGCAATCGTTCTGGAGCCGCCTGGCCCCGCGGGACACGTAGGCCCCGCAGCGACGACAGACCACAAACAACGAGCACATGGC